CCAATTAATTTTGTAGTACTTTCACGTACTATATAATGCATATTTATTGTCAAAATTTATTTCGAAAATTTTATCTAACAATATGAGAAAAATTTATTTTTTATAAATCACATTTTTGGATGTTACATAACCTATACTCACAAAAAATTCCATCAGTTTGGGAAAATTCGTTACGAGTTATAATTGGTCAGATGACCATATAAAAGTTTTTTTTTTTTTTTTGGCATTTTTACTTCCTTATCCAATTATAAATAATAAAATACTTTTTTTGAAAGTTTTTTTTACTAAAATTAGAATAATCGCTTAAAAGCATTTTTTCAAAATAGTTATATTCGGCTTTTGAGATCAATTTTGACAATAAATATGCATTATATAGTACGTGAAAGTACTGAGATAATTACAATAACTAATAGTCTGCATTGAAGTAATAAAATACCGATTTTTAAAATACCGAGTAATAAAATACCGATTGAATTATTTTTTATCTCTCATAGGACCTTCTATAGGCCGAAACGAATGTTGCCCCATAAAATTATTCCTCATAAGGCGTACATCCCACTAGTTCGTTTCAAAATTGGCAAGTCACACCTCCCTAGTCTCCCTTGTGTAGCTATGAGTATTGGCCAAATTAACCAGTAAATAAATTTTTAAAGCAAAATAAAGCTGACGCTATGCATACGGGTTTTATGTTCGTCATTTATGCCACTGTTTTAAGCTGTTGATTTGATTCATTCTAGGTATGAGCTTAGGCCGAATTAACCAGTAAATGAAATTTTAAAAATATTTAAAAAAAACTCACACTTGGCGAATGTATTTTACGTTTTTCATTTATTAATTTTTTTAAAGATATTTATCTAATGCATTCTACCCCTATGAGTATAGGTAGCATTAACTAGTAAATGTTTTCGATTGGTCTTTTAGTTAATTTTATTTATTTATCTATTTATCCTATGAGTTCTAAAGTTATGAGTTTAGATGGAATAATTAACTATATAATAATTAACTATATAATAATGTATGAATCTCAAAAAGAACTATCAACATAAGTAATGTTGTAAGAAAAAACTTTCCTTCCATATAAATCGTTTTTTACATTCCGTTCATTTTTTTTTTAATTAATAAAGAAAAAAAATCAAACATTTCCAATTTTTTTTTATAATTTAAAAATTTCTTGTTCCAATCAGAGTTTTGGAAGCAAAACCTTTTTAGACATTAATTTCATTTATCTTTTCTATTGTTTTATAAACAAATGCATTATGTATGTAATTTTGATATTATTTTTTACCATCTCTTAAATATTATAAAACTTAATTTTAAAAAAAAATCTATCCAGCAGAGTTTTTTTTCATCCTTAAAAGCAGATGGGACACTGGTGTCCCTTTTATATTTCTTTTTTTCTGACTCTCTAATTGAAGCAAAAATATATTTTGCTATTTTTAAATTAAAACACACAGTCTAATAGTTACTGAAAAATCTAATAGATTGTCCGAATAATATTTGAACTAAAATATTAAATCCAAAAAAAAGTAGTTTAAAAAATTTTTTTCATTAATTGATTTTTTAATTAAATAAATTTCAATAATGAATTACTGTTTCTCACGGATCTAAATAACTGAATTGGAAAAATTATTGCTTGAAAGTGAGCTGTGTTTGGAAGATTTTACATTTACCGTAGAAAAATACACAAGTGTTTCATATTCTATTTCAGAACCATGTTAAATATATTATGTAAAATGCTAAATATATTATTTTTTAATTAATTTGGCATACATTAATGAAAAATAATCAAAAAGTATGAAAAATATGTTTAAAAATTTCGTTAAAATTTTTTTATGTATGTTGTTTATTGTATGTATTGATAATATATGTTAAATATATTGTTACATTATTTCTACCAACTCTCGAAAATTATAAAACTTAATTTAAAAAAAAATCAGTTCAGCAGAATTCGTTTTCACCCTTTAAGGAAGATGGTGCACCCTTGTTCCTTTTATATATTTTTTTCTGTCACTCTGATTCTAAACAAAATATATTTCGGTATCTTTAATTATAAAAACTGTCTAATAGGTATTAACAAATCTGTTAGATTATCGGAATTAAATTTGTACTAAAATATAAACTCCAAAAAAAAAAATTTGAGAAACATTTTTTTTTTCATTTGTATTCAAAAATTGAACAATAATTAATTTTGTAAATTTCAATGATGAATAGCTGTTTCTTTCGGATTTAAATAACAGCAAATTTGAGAAATTATTGTTTGAAAGTGAGCTGTGTTTGGAAGATTTTACCTTTAATGCAGAAAAATACACCGTTTCTTCACATTCTATTTCATAATCATCAATTATTAAAATGCTAAATACAATATTTTTTACTTATTTGATCTAAATTAATACAAAATAATAAAAAAAGTATGAAAAACATGTTTAATAAATATTCTACGTCAAAAGCTTCTTGAATGTGTCATAATAATTATAATCTGAACAAAACAAGAAAAATGATTAGATTCCTAAAGTTTTTTTTAATAGCTATGTTTAGTGCATTTAATAACGATTAGGAAAGCGTTATTTTTTAGCATTTTTTTATTTGTTAACTAGTTAAAATTAATATAATAAAACATCTAAGATCACTAATGCTGAAATGAAAAAACATTTAATTTCATTAAACATTAAAATAATAAAGCATTTAATATAATTTTAAAATTTCGTATTCTCTAACTTGACTGCATTTTTAAATTAATAAAAAATTCAGATCTTTCCAAAAATTAATTTTAAATTATAATATAAGTATTAAATGTAAGTCAAAGAAAAATCCAAATGCTTGTAGTCTACTTTGTACATAAAATAGATTTCGATTTTTCTTCCTTGTAGTCAGTAAATAAATTCAGCACAAAATTCTTCCACATTACTTTCCGCCTACAAATCGACTGGTAGTTATTTTTTGAGCCATGAAAAATATAAAGAGAAAAGAAAAAGTAAAAATTCTAGAGATTCGAATCATCTATACGTGATTGCTAAATGGAAGGAGGTAGACAACATTGTGCAACCGAATTTCCATTCTCTAGAAAAATCGATCCCTTTTACCAAAAGAAATAAATAAAAAAAAGGAAAAATCAGAAAGGGAAAAAGCATTAGAATTGGAAAAAAGCAAAACTCTGGATAAATTGGAAGAAAGGGGACCAGGCTGCCTTTCAAAGTTTTTTATTTCTTTTCTTTAATTTCTTTCTTTCCTTTCTCCCATTATTTTTGTTAAGGGTAAAACGTTCTTTTGCTGATATTTTCTTGAAGTTGTTCTGACTGTTTGAGATAACGTTTTAGCAGAAACTTCAAATATTATGAAACGTGAGTAATATTAAATAAAAATAAAAGCAACGGAAAAAGAAAATGGCTATTTTTGCTTAGCATGCAGTGCTCAGTTTAGCATTTAACATTTAAAATTCTTTTTTATATTTATTTTTATATTCGAGTATATGCAAAGTTTGAAATTTCTGGTTGCACTCAAAGAAAAATAAATATGCTTAGTGTGTAGTATGGGGCTGGAGAAAAAAAAAAAGCATGGTTGAAACTCCCAGAATATGGTAAAATTTACCAAGTTTCGGGCTCTATAGGAACACAAAAATACTCGGTAATTTTTACAGAAGCGCTTTTGAAATTATTTTGGTAAAATTAGCAATAATATATGGTTTTTTAATATCATGAAATTTGGTAAATGTGGTTAAGTTAGGTAATTTGATTATGCCTTATAGCGCAAAATCCAATTATTTATTTAAATTTACTTTTCAGTTATTTTCAGTTTTGTATATTTAACTAAATGTGCAGTAAAAAAAACTATGATTTAAAAAATGAGAATTTCCATTAGAAATGGAAAAATTACCAAACAAATGGTTTAATTACCATATAATTTGGTTTTATTAACCAAAATTATGTTTTTTTTTTTATCAGGAATGTTATTGCCATGGAGTATGGTAATTTTGCCAGAAATTTTCTCCGTTTAGATTATTTATTTTTTTACTTAACTTTTGGCAATAAGAACTATTATTTTGAAAACCGGAATTTCTCGTAAACTATTACCATATGAATGGAAAAATTACCAAATAAATGGTTTAAATACCGTATATTTTATTTTTATTACCATAATTCTTATTTTAACATTGTGGAAAAAAAATTTAAAACATATGTGAATAACCATAGATTTAATTTTTGCATATTTATCTATATTTCTGTTGAAGATATCCTTAGGTTCTTAATTTCTTTCCATATGATGAACTTTTATGAAGTAACTAACGTATTAATCTAATATTGAATATAATAAAATGTTTTACTAAAAATTGTAATTTATTATTTTTTTTATATTGTGTTTTCCAAAGTTAACCAATTTCTTTCTAATTTTAGAAATTTAATAATAAAATAGATATTTTGAAATTGTGTGAAAATTTTTATATCTTACAATAAAATTTATTTCGATTGTACAGTGGTTTGCAGAAGGAGAGGGCACAGAGAAAAAAAGACCACAATCAACAACTTAGTTGAAATTACATCTCATTAGCTTAAGTTACAGTTAAGTTTTACTAGTAGAAAAAGTTGCAATTTTGACATATTTCCTTAAAATATCAAAAATTTAAACAATTATAATTTAAAATAGCTTTAAAATATTTTTCACTCTTTTACTTTTATCGAATTAAAACTTGTTTTAGATTAAAGATGAAATTTTTTAAAATTTATTTATCTTAATTCAAAATGTAGAATTAAATATAACCTATATTTTAAACTAAATTAGTAAACTCAAAATATAGGATTAAAATTTATATCAATAATTTATAATTTCCATAAAATTTAAAAAATATTTTTCAACTTATTTCTCACAAATAAGATTAATATAAAGTTAGCCTCTATGCATTAGCACTGAGGGTCAACAACCTTTAATATAATTCACTAAACAAACCTTAAGCATTTTCTTCTTTAAACAAAGACATTAACAAAGTGTTCTTTTTATTTTATTTCTAGAGTAACCTGCACAGAATCTTATTTCGTGAGTGAGCTCTCTTGGTGCCCCGAAAAAGACCTCCAAGACGGGGCACGTGATGTCACCCTCCAAGTCTGTACCCTAGGCTCGCCCCTGGAAAAATCTGCGGCTGCTGAGAGCAAACCTACAGGTAGGTAACACATCCTTTCCCGTTTGTACAACTTGCTGGCTAACGCTTTAATACAACTTGAGGCAACTCTGGGTTGTTCCAGCACTGGGGACTCTTAATTTTTTTTCTTCTGACATCCACCCTTCTCAGAGGCCGAATTTGAGAAGATGGATCGGTTTGCTCTGTTTTTCTTCACAAATCTGGTCGAGCTTAAGAGTAGGGAGAGTTATTTGAATACTTTACTTACTTTTATGTAGAGTTATTGAATTATTCACATTATTGAAACTCAATTTATCACCATTTATGGAAACCCAGTGTTTATTATGGGGAATTATTAGACTTCTGCACTTATTTTCATAGAATACTGAATTTAATTGAAACTCAATTTATAACCAAATTTTTAGTATGAATAGAGTTATTTCAGTTCTTTATCTACTTTTAAGGAGAGTTATTGAACTCTCCATTTATCAAAACCCAACTTAACATAATTTATAAGAATCTAATTATTATTAAGGAGAGTTATTATTATGGAGAGTATTTATTATGGAGAATTATTAGACATTTGCCCTTACTTTCATAGAATACTGAATTCAACTGAAACTCAATTTATAACCAAATATCAAAACCAAATTTTTAGTATGAATAGAGCTATTTCAGTTCTTTATCTACTTTTAAGGAGAGTTATTGAACTCTTCATTTATCAAAACCCAACTTAACGTCATTTATAAGAATCTAATTATTATTACGGAGTGTTATTATTATGGAGAGTGTTTATTATGGAGAATTATTAGACTTTTGCCCTTACTTTGATAGAATACTGAATTCAATTGAAACTCAATTTATAACCAAATATCAAAACCAACTTTTTAGTACGAGTAGAGTTATTTGAGTTCTTTATCTACTTTTAAAGAGAGTTATTGAACTCTTCATTTGTCAAAACCCAACTTAACATCAATTATAAGAATCCAATTATTATTATGGAGAGTTATTTGAATTCATCACTTAATTTTATGTATTCTTCATAATATCTAGACCTAACTTGTCACAGCGCCAACAATGAAAAAAAATTGAAACTGTATGAAAAAAATCTCTAACTCAGAGGTTTCCAAATTGCAAGAACTTTACAAGATTCAAAATAACTTGGCTTTAATCATATATGTTTTGTAGTATATCATTCAATCTGAACATTAATGTACATTTCATATGTGTCAAACTGTGAAACAGAAATTGTGGAAGTAAATTGTGACATTATAAACGCGGTGAATTAAACTCGAGGGCTCAGAGCTATTTTTACTTAGGACGGGATGCTCATGTCTTACACTATAATCTAAATATTTTATTATTTGAGCCTAAAGTGTTTTGTTTCTTAATGAAATATTCTGCAAAAATATTCCACTAAGAGCCAAACCTTAATATGCATCATATTTTGAGTAATAATTAAAATTAATTTTAAAAAAAGATAATTAAGTTTAGTTAGTTGAATTTTTTTTTAAAAAATATTGCATTACTTAACTTTTCTCTAAGTTATGTATTTCTGAGTAAAAATCGCCTTTTTTACCATTATTTAAAGCTTGGGTTACATAATAAATATCGAAAATAAAATTATCATTACGATAACAGGGAAAAGAATTCTTAAACTGATCCAATTAATCTTTACTCGAAAACGAATAAAAAGTTCTCTTTGTCCTCGATTATATTTTTATTTTTATTCAAGTAAAGACTATTTTCTTGTAAAAAATAAACTCTAGAGATTTTTTTATTTAATATTAAAAAAAATCGTTAGTTTCATAATTCATAGTAGAAACGGTTTATTTTAGATACTTGCATTTTTAGACAAGACTAGCATGCATATTGAAGCCCAATTTATATTTACGCCAATAATAAAAATAAATTGCAACTAAATCAAATAGTGGCTATATCTGAAAATGAACTTGTTGTTCCATCTATTGTTTTTTTAGTCGAATTTAGTTACTAACATGTATATCGAAACCCAATTTATATTTACGCCAATAATAAAAATAAATTGCAACTAAATCAAACAGTCGATATATCTGAAAATGAACTTGTTGTTCTATCTATTGTTTTTTTCAGTCGAATTTAGTTACTAACATGTATATCGAAACCCAATTTATATTTAATGCCAATAATAAAAGTAAATTGCAACTAAATCAAACAGTTTCTATCTGGAAAGGAATAATGTACTCGAGTTGTTCCATCTATCGTATTTTTATTCTAAGTTGACTAACAATAGTTCATTGTTTTTGTTGTCTAGAAAAAGCCGTCAAGAGATTTGTTGTGGACGAGCTGAGCCACCATGTTAAAGAAAAATTGGAGAAAGAACCCTTTGTGTTGGATATCGATCTAGATTTCTACTCAACAAGGAACCCTTTCCTTCCTATGTTCTCATCAGAACAGTTCGATTTCTTAAGAAAACTCTACCATTATGAACATCCAAAAGAAACAGACGAAAAAGTTCGTAAAAGAAGTCTATTTCATTTCACGCTATGTTTATATTGTATTTCATACTATAATAGGGGGAGAGTGTTGAACCTTGGACCAATTTTGATTTTTAAATCCAGGAGATCTTAATTCAAATAACTTAGAAATTTCGTCGGAAATGCATTATGTGATTATCTATTAATACTTTTTGTGAAGGGATTCTGTTATATATTTCGGAAAAAAAAATATTTTTGAAAAGTAAGGAAAATCGATCCAAGCCACAACATGGTGTTGTACCTTGGATCATCTGATGTAAACTCCTTGGGTACAGTAATACAATTTAGAGAAAGTAATAAATCAAATAACTTTGTAGGGAATATATTATACGTTTGCTTATTACTATTTTTTTTTTATTAACGAATTCTATCATATATTTCAGTAAGATATTTTTAATGGAAAATCGGTTTTGGGGATAGCATGGTGGGTAACAAAAAAATAACTATTTTCATATTTATTTTAGTTTTATGCACTACCTCAATATCTATATGGCCTATTATATCTTTTTTTAATAGGAATTATGTTACCCTTATACATGTATACTTATATCTAGATTCGTTATGCTTACTTCTCTTAAAAGAAGTATGGTCAAAACTACTAGAATACGGTAAAACTTACCATGTTTCTGACTCTATGGGAGCACTAAAATGCTCGGCTATTTTTACCGAAGTGCTTTGGTTGGGATTTCGGAAAAAATAGCAATAAAATATGGTTTTATAAATTGTGATGATTAGGCAAATGTGGTAAGTTTTGGTAATGTTAAATCATGGCCTGAAAACCATTTACTCGGATAATTTAAATTAAGTTTTTGTATTTCTTACTATATGTGTGGTAATAAGAACTATAATTTTGAAGGGAATTTTTTTTCTCGGTATACATTGAGCAATCGGATGTAACTCTTTAATACAGAAAGTAATACTGGATGAAGAATACTTGAGTACAGAAAGTAATGATCGAAATTACTTGAAATTTATTTTGGAAAATCAGTATACATTTTCTTATTAATATATTATTTTTTGTTAGCGAATTCAGTCATATACTTCAGAAAAAAATATTTTTTTAAAAGATAAAGAAAAGAGGACCTAGGGACAATGGTGTTGTACCTTGGACTACCATATGTTACATCTTAACCATGGATGTAACTCCTTGGATAAAACTTCATTTGAATTTTTTCTTTTCTTTTAAATTCATGAGTTGATGATTAATTTTAATTCGAATATGTAATATGTTGCTTTCTGGGCACCATGAATTTTACAGAATACAAAGAATTTAAAAAAAAAAAAAAAAAGAGTCTATCTTAGCTATAAAATTAAACTAGACTTTTTTACTCTTAAAATGTTTGGGCAAAAATAAAGCCCACTCTTCCTTTTATATATAATAAATCATTCAATTTCTGAGTTAAAAACTCTATAAGCAACATAAAATAAAAAAAAGTCCATATTTTGATATGTCTTTGATTTGCCAATATTAGATAGACCAATTAAATCATCGAAATCTTATTTTAAAAAACGATTTTAATGTCACGTTTCGGAAAATTTTTAAATCAAGTTGTACGCAAAACTTTTTAAGACTTATAAATGCTACGCAGATAAAAAAATTAACATTCGCCACTATAGAGCACTAAGTCTCGTACTTTAATATATGTTTTAAGATTTGTTGCTAGCTACATTGTTAGATTAGAACGCTCGATGAGAAAAAAAAAAAGAAAAACGAAGATTAATTCAATTTTACAATCTTCAAAACAATATTAATTTTACAACAGTTCTAAAATGGAGTTTATAATTTAATTAACCGTTGAAACAAGATCCAATCATTTTTATTGCTCCTATTTTATAGAAGATCAAAGAAGCTTTCTTCTGTAGTAATGGGTGCAACGTCTTATGATTAGTTCTATATTCAATCAATGGAAGAGTAAGCGAACGCTTTTTTTAATAAACGGTTGTAAGAAAATTAATTTCGTTAAACAAAAAACTTCAAATTATAATTGAAGTATGGTGTTTTTCATTTCGTACTTTTAAACATAAAAAATTGAAGCGGATATTGACGATATTTCTTTTAAACGTTTAAATATTTATAATTATTATTGATATTATGATATCACTGTCAGATGACTTCAATCCGTTTTGGTTTAAGTTAAAAATTCGAGAGAGACTTGAGAAATTTCGTCACGAAATCATATAATTTTTGTAGAAAAGCAAAATTGAGTACGTGAAATATTTTTCTTTTGCTCAGAAAAATGGTTTCGTAAACAATTAAAAAAATTTAAAAATCCAGTTTTTATAGCGCAATATAGAATAAATCAAAATAATAAATGGTTGAAAGAAAATTAATTTCGTTAAACAATAACTTAAAATTATAATTGAAGTATAGTGTTTTTCATTTTGTAGTTTTAAACGTAAAAAAATGCGACGGATTTTGACTATATTTCTTTTAAAAACTTAAATATTTCTTAATTGATATTGTGACATCATTGTCAGATGACAACCATCCATTTTGTTCAAGTTTAAAATTCAAGAGAGCTGAAACATTTTATCACGAAATCATGTGATTTTTTTTCGAAAAGCGAGATTTTTGAATAGCAAAGCAAGAGTAGGCAAAATGTTTTTTTTTTTTTTTTTTCGTTTGCTCGAAAAAAGGGTTTTGTGAACAATGAAAAAAATCTTAAAAATCCAGTTTTTACAGAGCAATATAAAACACTTCAAAACAATAAACTGTTGTAAGAAAATTAATCTAATAAACGGATGTAAGAAAATTAATTTCGTTAAACAAATACTTGTTTTGAAAAATTAAATATTTACTATTTATGTGTTGATATTATGATATCATTGACGGTTGACTACAATCTTTTTTTTCAAGTTTAAAATTCAAAAGATCTGAGAAATTTCGTCCCGAAATCATGTGATTTTTATGGAAAAGCAAAATTTGGCAGAGTAAGCTATTTTTATTATTATTATTATTTTTTTTTTTTGATTGCTCGAAAAAATGAGTAAACAATGTGAAAAAAAATTCTTAAATAAATTAAAAATCTAATTTTTACAAAGTAAAATATTACAAAATATTACAAAATCAGTAACATTATAAAGACAAAACAAATTAAACATTTTTTGCCAAGAATCCAGTAAAATTTTTATCCTAAAATTGATCGCATATTTTTTTTAAAGTAATCTAGATCAGCTATTTTTCTCACAGCATTTTAATGAAAACAAAAAAATATTTTGTGTTTAAGTTTATCTTAAAATGTTCATTTCTAATAATGCCATTTTTATTGCTATGCAAGTTTAAAATTAATCCCATTTTAATCTATTTGACATGACTTCGAATATCTTGACTTCATAAAACTTTTGACAGTTATTCAATAATGTTTCTTCATAACTACAAAAGAATTAAGTAGTCCTATGATGTACTGTGTAAACAGCAAATTTCCAAACTATAATTTACGTTTTTCTTTGCAATGTGATAAAAACAAGCTTTTAATGTGAATTAACTTAGTTTATTAAATATTTCTTTAAAAACTTTACAAATTACAAAATATATAATTTTAATTTAGTATGCATTTTGTGAAGCAATATAATCTTCGCCATAAAAATTGAGCTACTTTACATTAATATTTAATATAAGTTTTTACTTTGCTGGATAAGAAATGTAAGAAACAGAAATAGTGATTTCAGTGTAAAAAAATAAAAGGAGAAATGCAGAAACACAGAAACATTGTGCAAAGAAAAGACTTTTATTAAGTACCACATATAAAAAAAAAATTACAAATACCTTTTAAATAACTTCATTGGTAGCATTTCTCAATATCTTCATGTACATCTTAAACTGCTATAATTCAACAATGCTATATGCCATTCAAACTAGCCATTATGTCATTCAAACTAGCTATATGCCATTCAAACAATATACAACAATATTTAAATACAATATTAAGTGCAAAAAGTCATGAAAGAAGGTTTCTCAATAAATCAAAATAACAAAACCTTTATGATAATATTTAATGAAATATAATTAATTACAACAAGGTTTATTTTTAAAATTTTAATTACATTTTTATTTTTAAATTTGAAGATTCACTAAAAATAATTAACTTATAATTATTTAAAATATATTAATATAAATAAAACATTATAAAAAATCATAACACTATATTTAAAATCATAATGCTTACATAGTAATTAATGTATGTCTCGTGTTTTAAATTTAATAGATATATTTAATCTATAATTAAATTAAATGCATAATGCATGCAAATGCATGTTTTAAATTTATGGAAACTTATATGGTTATGTGTTATTAATTACTAAAATACAAGTTGAATTGATTAATTAACAAAATTAATTGTTTTTAAATTTTGAAAAGTTAAAATAAATTGTGTTGTCTTATGTAAGCTGAACCTTAATTAAGCAGCAAGTTAACATTGTTTATTTTATACATAAAATATCTTGCCCACTTATTAAAACTAAAATAAAAATTCGAAGTTTGAGACACTTTTGTTTGTGCCATATCAGTGGTATTTCTTTTTAATTGGATAAACTTGTGATTCAGAAATACACCCACTGATTTAAATATAATGTGAGTTTTAAGATTATGTTTTAAAATTAGGAATTTTAATTATATTGGGATAGTGAACAAACTAAATTTTAATACTATTTTTACAGTCGTATAAGTAATAAAAAAGACTAAATAACATTTCTACTTCGTTCTATATTTTCATTCTTAAAAATCCAAAATCATTGATAATTACTTATCAATATATACAGAATAAAATGCTTGAAAATTTTCGAACCAAAATTTTTTTTTTTTGTAAAAAAAAAAATCGTTGATTTCAAGCGTGATTAAAGTCCATGAATTTTTTTTTTTTTAATGACTTTTGATGAAAGATGACTTTTCCGTATATAAACGTTTTTTCTACCGTACTCACAACGATTCAGATTTGCACGTTCCAAAATACTTTTAATAGTACAAAAAAAAAAAAAAAA